TTCTAAAGTAGACGAGGGGTAGACATAAACTTTAGATACATGAATGAATTTTGAGCTCATAGTTAATTGTAAACTCTAAGAACAGTTCATTTTTACGCTCATGGACTTGCTCAATTCTTGCCCTCATAAAGTGATCATTGAAGATGTGAATGCTATAGCAATGTATGGTGAAGGATCAGAGGATGTATGTGGGCTTTTAAAAGCTTGCCTTAAAACAAGCAGCCTTCCAAGTGTGGTGTCAGCTTAGTCCATGCAGAAAGAGCACACTAGTCCATGTGATACAAGGATCATAAGTAATAAAATCCAAGATCTGAAGAGGGAGTTGTATTAGAGCTTAAAATCTGAGCACCGGTTTGCAGAAGGCGATGGATGATCGTAAAAGCTCCAAATCCGTTTATAGAGGGCCTACTCACTTTAAGCCTCCATTAAATTCCCTGGGACCATTGATCAGGGTTTTGGATAGTCTTGCCCTCATACAGAGTACGCTGGAAAATGATTAATGCAGATCTCACTCTCTCTATCACAAACATATATACACACTTCCATTGAGTCAATCCCAACTCAAAACAACTGCACAGGACAAGGTAGAGCTGCTCTTTTGAGTTTCCAAGGCTCTAATTGTTTGAAGAGTAGAAAGCCCCATCTTTCTCCTGAGGAATGGCTGGTGTTTTGAACTGCTGGCCTTGAGGATTATAGTCCAATGCATAACCACTATGCAACCAAGGCTCCCACTGTTTTCTCTTTTGACCCATTTTTAATTTGTTCTGGTTTCTATGATCTTCTGCTTTCCCCTGCATTGAGGTTTTTCTGCATGTTATTGGTGGTGGGGCTTTTTGTATGTTTTTCCTTATATGAAATCTGTAGAGGCAGGAACAAGATTTATAGTTACTTAAGCTTATGTTACTTATGGTTGGGGAGGTTGGAGGGTAATGGGTCACTAATAATGATTGGTACAAGAATGAAGAAAATATTCTAAAATTGATGGCAATGATAATTGAACAACTATTTAAGAATATATTTAAACCATTGAATTGTATGATATATGCATTATATGCCAATAAATCTCATTAAAAAATAAAAAAATTCAGCCAATAATACCCCAGTGGAGCAATTCTGCTCTAACACATGTGGTTTCCATGAGTCAGAACTAATTCTACAGTAATGAGTATTTTGTGTTATGAACACATGGTATTTCATTTATCCATTCATCTGTTGATAGACACATAGGTGGTGTCCATCTTCAGGCTTTTGTAAAGAGTGCTGCAATAAACCAGGACTCAGAACTGGTTCATTCCAGCTTGGCCCCCTGCAGAAAATGTACATCTCCACCCCAGACACACGGAACCAGAATCCACATTCAGTGTAACTGGGGTGGAAATGTAAATTGTCAGCAGAAGGTTAATCTGGAATGAACTAGTTTGAAGCTCTGCAATGAATAGTGATGTATACATGTCTATTTGGGTCTCTGTTTTAATTCTTTGGGGGTATATACCTAGTAGTTTTTAATAAAACAAAACCTCAGGGCAGCCTTGCCACTCTTAAGGAACTCGGTTATATAGTGCTGTTGAAACAGAAATAATACAAGTGATGGTTTTAAGAGACAGAACATTGTCTTCTCACAGCTGAGGAGGCCAGGAGCACCAATTCAGGGGCTAGCTCTAGGAAAAGGCTTTCTTTCTCTATTGCTCTGGGGAAAGGTCTTCCTACCAATTTTCCCATGGTTCTAGGAGGTTCTCAGTGCAGGAACCCTGGTCTATAGAATGACCTTCTCTCCCAGCTCTTCTTTCTGGGTGGCACTGAGGTCCTTCCATCGCTGTTGGCTTGTTGAACCTCTTTTAGATCTCAAAAGAGCTTGACTCAAGATATAGCCTGCAGATCTCTTCTGGCATTATTAACATATTAACATTATTAACATACCTGCCTCTCCTCCTCCCACATTATCATTATAGAGGTGAGGCTTTATAACACATAGGATGATTACATGAGATCACAAAGTGGAGCCCGATTACATAATACTGAGAATCATGGCCCAGCCAAGTTGACACCTTCTCAGCTCATAAAAAGAACTGAAGGCATGCCCACCGAAGCCCTCTGTGGAGCAGCAGCCGCGAACAGTAGAGCTGAGCAGCCTTTGCTGCCCCTTCTTGCTTGCTCAAACAAAAGGTAAGCTAGGGAGGCCTGAAAGCTGACATGCGCGACCACCACAGGGGAGTCAGCCAGGTGGTCTGGGCTACACTCTGTGCTATATTTTCTTCTTCCTCCCACCTTTGATTCCCAGGGTTTCTTCTTCCTCCCACCTTTGATTCCCAGGGTTACTGATGGCAGTAGAGGAACTGAGTTTCAGAAGCATGAGTAGGAGAAACCCCAGGACCCCGTTTGTCTAGAAGTGACGGTGGGCACTTCATGGCTGATTGTGCTGAGGAGGAACATTTGCACCTGTTTTGAGCTGGCATCCCATTTCGAGAGAGCAGGGAGACACAACAAGGCCAGCACAGCTGAAGATGATGACTGCCAAAATGACTTACCAGAGACATCTGTGCCGCTGTCATCCACTCGGGAGCGATGTGGAAATGAGCCCCCGCTGAGTCTCCCAGTAGAATGACTCCCCTGGGCTGTGAACCTAGGTAGACCAATTATTGACGTTACATACGTACTCGTGTTGTCTGGAGCCTCCTGGTTGGTTAGTTCTGAGTACAGATAGCCTGGTACCCTGGTGTGCATCGCATGCTCCCAACATCCTAATAGTGATGCATTACCTCTGCTCCTGAGCTGAAGAATGAGGGGCATCGCTTTTAGGAGCTGGATGAGATTTCCAGGCTATCAGAACTGCTGGCTAAACACTGCAGATGCAGGTGTGTGTACTAGCTCAACACAAAGCAAACTGCTGTACAGCATCCTGAGTGAATGATGGATGAATAAGGGAATCAAAACTTCATCTGAACTCAGCAATATACCCTACATTTTGGTTCTGGAAATTGCTTTTTTGGAAAACACAATCATTTCTGTTACAATTCACTTTACGAATTAACGATCTTGTGGAACAATTTTGATTTTTCCAAAGATGGTACTGTCTTTTAAAGTCCCGAATCCATATGTAGAAAAGCACCAGATAGATGATTCTAGCTGATTAATGGGGAGATGGTAATATCCGGATTCCATGCAGCTTTGCATGTTTGGAAGTTAAATCATTTAATTTGTATCTGAGCCCCATCTATACAAATCATTTACATATGCATATCCTTTTCCAAACCCTTAAGATTCTGGAAGAAATTTACTGACATCTCCAGGATTCCTAGAGAAAGGTTTCTTCCACTGCTCCAAGCCTCATACATCCTGCTGCAGGGTCACCCAGAGTCATTATAGGATCACTTTATCCTGGGCACCATAGCAGCCAGCAACATGCCACACACAATGGATAATGGAAGATGAGGGATTTCCATGAGGGCAAAGTGTACTAGGATGTGGGAGAATTTAAGAGGCTTCTCACAGTGTCCCTAGGACCTCAGATCAGCGTTTCCCCTAGACCTGGGTTACCTCATTCATCAATCCTTCTATTCTCCTATCTGTTCATTCTTCTGCTCCAACCAATATTTCTGAACTACGTAAATATACGCAGTCTTTACATTTTTACATTTTACATCCACTCTTAACATTTTCTTTCCCCCTTTTCTGCCCTTCTAAGATCTTAAAGAAAATTAGACTTTAAATTGATTGAATGAAATTCAGAATAGAGTGCTTAGTTGAAGTTGGCCCAGAAGTGCACACACACTACCTGTCACCTTCCTCAAATCCCATTAACTTCAAACTTATTTTATAATCCATGCCAATTATAGCTGCAGGATGACATAGGAATAGATACCCAAAAAATACTCTTTGAATAAAGGAATAAGATGGATGCAACTATTGGAGAAAAGCATTGCGGAAACAGAAAATATCCCACGATATGCAGGGTCTTGCTCAAAGCCTTGGGAATCACCAGCAGGAGGCGTTCACTCATGGGTGGGGAGTGGTCAATTTCTCCTAGCCACCTTGGTGGCCTTGGTGTCTGTGACATTCGTACATTTGGGAGGCAGAGCTCTTTGAGGTTTTGTTTTGGGAGTCCCCCATGGCCATACCTTGGAGAGTTCCTTCAAGTCTCCAAGGCATACATCTTTAGTGGAGTGGATACAGGGTTCCAACAACACAAAATTACGAAATCTTACCCTAGCATCTTGAGAAGAAAATTAAGATTCTAGATTACAACTTCTAGTTATTGCCTCTACTTGATTTCTCATTTGGAGAAGGGCTGGACTTTGGGTACCCAGTTCCTCCACCCTGTAGCCTTTCCTAACACAGTCATTAAAATTTCCAATTCACAAATAATGGGCTCAATTAAACAAATTCGGTGTTACTTTTTCTAGATTCTGTCTCCTTTTTCTACATCCTTTGTCTTTGGTCTGTCATGGGAGAAAACGAAAACTGTTCCAGTTCAAGTAAATTCCAACAGTAGCCACTTGCTTGCTTGGGTGGCCTGCTCACTTCTGCTGGAATCACACTAGAAACGAATCATCTGTGGTACAAAGCACCCTGACTCTTCCGGTGCGTACCTTCACAGAATTTCTTCTCATATGGAATGCCATCCTTTGGATCAACACCCTTTAAAAGAGAAACGTTAAAATTAGCAATTTATTTTTTTCAAATGTACGAGGCACATGCAATGAATTCTTCCCAAAGGACTGTAAAAGGGTAGCAAGTAATTATTAGGTACAACCCTTGAAAGTAGCTTGAACCTCTTGTTCAACATAGTTCCACTCGAGGACCCCAAAGGAACCGGGGCAGGAATACGGAGAGAACCAGGAAGTGGTTCATTTCTTTCAGAGGGGTGGGCAGGGCTGGAGTGCTGGCGGAGATGCCCAGGTTGGGACTCTTCTGGACACAAGGTCCTGATGCCTCCAGGATCTAAGAGCTGATGCTTTTAGAGCAGAGATTCTCTGCTGGTGGCACTTTCACCCGGCACCCTCCCCTCACCCTTACCCTCAGCCTCTCCCTCGGGGCTACCTAGTATTATCTAGAGACATTTTGGTCATCACAGCTGGGTGGAGAGGGTGCTAGGAGGTAGAGTTTAGTGATGCTACGAAACACTCTCCATTTCTCAGGAGAACACCCAAGAGCAATTAGTTGACGCACAATATCAATGATGGTGAGTTTGAGGAATCAGGAAGGGGTGTGAAGTCTGAGAGAGGGCCCCGGTTACTGCAGTTGACTTGTTAACACCGAGAGTGAAAGCTATCCGTTAGCGGAGGGGGCAGCCCAGGGGGTACCGTCGGTTACAATGACAAGTTGGACTGCAAACGGAAAGACCAAAAGGTCAGCGTTTTGTACCCATCAGCCTCTCTGGGGGAGAAAGATGGGGCTCTGTGCTCCTGAGTGACAGTCTCAGACACTCAGAGGAGCAGGTCTGTGAGTCTGAATTGACCCGATGGCAGGGAGTTGAGTTGTATGGTCTCTACTGGTTTTCCCCTTACTTTCTCTCGGTGTCTGTCTCTATAAGATATGCAGGCCACGCCATCCCAAGGAAACAGCAATGGGACCAACGGTTCCGGGGTAGGGGTGGAGTGGGGGGAGGGCATGGGGGAGGCGGCGGCGCAGGGAGAGAGTGACGAGTAAATAATGACAGGGACAGGGGAAGGGATCTGAAATTGACAGTGACGAGAGTGTAGCATTTCTGGTGTGTTTGATCAACTGAAATGTGTCCGAGAGGAATGACTGAGAGGTGAATGATGCATAAACATGACAGTGGGGCAGAAGGAAAGAAAGAAGAAAAGGAGGTGGTGTGGGCCCCTGCATGCCTACAGAGTAGTTTCCTCTCTGCCTGCCTCAGCGTCTGAACTAGAAAAATGGCTGCCATACGAAGGTGACAGCAGGTGGTTTGCTCCAACAGCTGTTTGGTCGGCTGTACGGGTTTGCTAGCACCGCTTCTCATTTAATTTCACACGGTTCGAAACGGAAGAAAAGAATTAGACCTGGATGACCTCAAGCAAGGGTTAAGAGGCCTCAAATGCACCTCACGAGTTTGGCACTCCTTTCCAAATGGCAGAAAACAATTGCTTGGGGCTGTCCAGATCTGACTAGAACACACAGGTGATGGGATTTGGGATGGGGGAAAGAGAACAGATGACATCCATATTTAGTTGCTTACCCAAATGCCATTGCAATTTGAGTCTTGATGTGCATCCCAGTTGACTGGCCTAAGAGGAAAACATCAACAAGGGTTTTGGCATCGACTTGTCACTCAGTGAATGTTCGCTTCATGAATAAAGGAGGGCACATGCAAGCGCTACATCAATTGCCACTGCCAGACAATGGCCTCCTTCTCTCATTGTGCACTGTGGCAGACCGAAAGAAGCCTTCATTTGCCCTCTTTGATATCCGTCTGAATTTGGCCTATGTGCTGGGAACTCTGGATCAAATCCCGTGTTTTCCTTGATTGACTATATTCACCAACCGGATTGTTTGGGACTGGAGATGAGCACATCTGCAGTCTATTTTATTTAAACAGGTGGAGCTGTTAAAGTTGTGCTTCTAACACGCTCAAACATCTGGCTATGTTCACACTTCAGGATTGTATTCACAGTATAGGGGAAGGTTGGTATAACCACTTTTTGAAGCCGGAGACAAGACTGACTGCACACCAGCCAGAAACACACTGTGCCATGCTCTCCCTTCACAGTGCCCTCTCCTTACTCCTAGGGAGTGAGCCCATCCTTTCTGGGCTCAGTCCTGCTTGCGGAACTGGGGTAAGACGCTGGGTAAGTGCCCAGCATAATCTATCTTCCTTGTTTGCTTCACCCACTGGGCTATGCGTTACAAAGGCATGATTCCAGGTTAGCTACCACTCAATGTGATGGAGGCGGCCTGACCGGTAGTAGGTGCATGATGAGCATTTCCCGAACAAATGAATGCATGGATATAGCTTGTTTCTCCACTGAGCTCTACTTTAGTTGGGAAACAGAGGTTTCCTGTCCTGCAAATGGGAATCCCTTGCGCTAGGGGAAGAAGTTTTACCTCCGGCTTTCTTTTTAGAAAATAATTTCATACTCAGAGTTGACAGTGTCAGTTACCTTCTGCCTGGGTACACCATCTTATCCTGGTCATTGCAGTCTCGTCCTCGCCAGTGATAGCCGCGCAGTGTCTGGAGGAGAAAGGGTTCAGGAGAAACGCAGGTCAGCTTTGATGTAGCCACCATGAAGCTGCCCGAGTGCTACCGACATCTGCAGTTTTCAATTCACATAGAGCCAGGCGACACAAAGGCCACTAAGAAACTGGTGGGGCCCGCTGTGTGAGGGAAATGTCAGAGCACCAGAGCCTAACGGGAGGTTAGTGTGTGTGTATATTTAGTATAATGTGTGGGCATGTGTGTGTAGAGGAATATATTGAGCTGCTAATCGAAAGGTCAGCAGTTCAAAACCACAAGCTACTCCTTGGGAGAAAGATGGAGCTTTCTACAAAGAGTTAGTATCAGAAACTCACAGGAGAAGTTCTACCCTCTCCTATAGGGTTGCTATGAGTTGGCATCGACTAGACCACAGTGAGTCTGGTGTTGAGTTTGGGTGTGCACTTGTATATGGTCAAATATGTGTATATGATGTTGGGTGTGCACTTGTATATGGTCAAATATGTGTACACATGAGCACATGGATGTATGTAGGTGCCTGTTTGTGTGTATATATGTGCATTGTCATGTGTGTGTCTATGCATACCTCCATAAATAATAGGACTACTCTACTCCCTGAAATTCCACTAAAAAATCAAACCCACTGCCATCAAGTTCATTCCAACTCATAGCGACCCTGTAAGGCAGGGTAGTATTGTTCCTTAGGATCTCTGAGATGAAACCTCTGTGGGAGTAGATAGCTGCAGTTTTCTTCCAGGGAACAGCTGGGGGTCTGACTTGCTGACCCTACACACACTAGGCTTCCACTGTGACTCACCCGTCCTCTCAGGCCCTGAAGCAACTGGCTTATTTGGTCATTTTATGGCATGTTTTATAACCCCCGTTAAACCGGCTAATGATGTGAATTTGTATGTTAGATCTGATTGCTTTTAAAGACACAAGAGTCAGAATAGTTAATATTTTTATTTCCTCCATTTGCAGGTAGACTATCTGAGCTAATCCAAACCCAGGTAACTGAAGCTGGTGGCACGCTATTTGCTATTTGCTTGTCAGCATTTGTGGAGAACACATTGACATTTTAATTACTCTAAATCAAACACATATTCACACACACACACACACACACACACACTTTTGAAAAACAAATGAAAGAAGGTTTAAGTATTTCTGCAATAATTCACAGGACTATTCATGATCACCGTAGTCCCCATGAGAATTCTAGTGGAGAGTGAGCCCAGAAAAACAAAACCACCTCGGCCTACAACTCCCCGATGGCCAGTGAGTTAATCTGATGCCCAAAAGTCCTTCAAAGTCATTAAATGGTATCTTGTCATACACCATTTTTAATATGCGAATTCCAATCTTTTCTCATTAAAGGAAATAGATTTATAGGAATCGAGGCCATATGTAGTGAAAAGCTGGTTACTTCTGTCAATACTTACTGGAAAAACACTGTATTTATCTGCATCAGCATCTTTGAATGGCACAGAATTCTTTATAGCTCTAGGAAGAAGAAAACAAAATTCATAATGAGCTAAAGAAAAAATGAGAAACCATGTTTGTGAAAACAAATAGGGATATTTTCAGATATGGCTGTTTAGGGAGCATGTGACAGCAATTCATTCTAAGAATAAAATGGAAGGTCCATGTCAGAATCCCACAGGGCCAGTTCTACCTTGTCCCGCCCGTAAGGTCAGGAGGAGTCGGCATCGACATGATGACACCGAGTTCAATTCGGTTCATAGCAAGCAAGAGTCCTAGCCAAACTCTTCCAATCTCTGTTCTCCACTCAGCAGAGCTTGTTTCTGCGCTGATATTTAACTTGGTCCATACGGGCAGATGAAATAATCTACCGAAGTTTGATGGCCCTGGAGTATGGACGTCGAGGTCCCCAGGAAATAAGGAGATCGTGTTTTGTTCTGTAAGTTGAAACTTACACCGCTTTACATATTCTTTTATTCAATTTTCACTATTTTGAACCACTTACGTTGAGAATTTTCCCAAGTTCACAGGGTCAGTTCTACCCTGCCCTATAGGGTTGCATCTACTTCATGTCTTGGCATCTACTTGATGGTAGTGAGTTTTAAAATTGACTCTGAGTTGATAGACGCCCTGGTGGTATAGTGAGTTACACATTGGACTCCTAATTGCAAGGTTAGCAGTTCAAAACCATCAGGGGATCCAGGGGAGAAAGATGAGGCTGTCCATCCCATAAAGATTTATAGTCATGGAACTCTATAAATTGGAGTAGACTCAATGACAGTGGGTACTTTGAAAATCTTGACTGAGAAAAAAATTAACCTTGTCAAAAACCTTTTTTTTTTTTTTAAACGTTGATCCATAATCAATACCCATGGGAGCAGCATTCAGGAAATCAAAGCTCTGCATTGGACAAATCAACAAAAGACCTCTTTAAATATTAAAACAACAATAGAACAAAGATGCTACTTTGAGGACTAAGCTGTGTCTGACCCACACCATGATATGAGTATTTTCCATTGCTTGTTGATGAATTATGGAAGATTGAAGAAGAAGGTTGTGGTAGTTACATAATCTGGTGTCAATTTAGAACTTGAAAGGATTGAGTGAAGGAGTGGAGTCTAGTCTGCCAATTGGGTAACAGCCAATGAGGACTCTGTGTGGGCATGGCCTTCTCCTGAGGATTCTGGGTACTCTGGTATTTCCTCCTTGGAGGCGGGAGACACTCTCTCTTCTCACTTCCTGAGAGACTCTCTACTGACAAGGCTGACTCCCTGTGAGGCATCCCTAAGACAAAGCCACATGGACCTACCCTGATGCAGCCCTGGAAGCTGGAGAAGCCACATGGAGACCCCTGGGCCACTGGGCCCACAAGACTTCCCACTCTCTGGCCTGTGATCTTCCTGCATTCGGGGTCATTGCATGTGTTTTGTGAGTCTGAGGAGGACTTTATAGATTGCTATCGGACATATGGGCTAATATCAGACTTATGCATTTGATCTGGACTGGGCTGGGATGTTTTCTCAATATTCAACTGTTCTCATGCATAAAGCTCTTTCTTATACACATATTAATGTTCATGAATTTGTTTCTCTAGTCTACCTAGACTAACACAAAGGTTTACATTTGCAGCATGCTGCTGGAAAAGAACAAACTCCAGAAGAATGAACAAATTCTTATTGGCAGAAGCACAGCCAGAATGATCCTTAGGAACAAGGATGGGGAGACTTTGTTTCTTGTGCTTTGGAGATGGTCTTAGGAGGGAACAGTTCTGGGAGAAGGATATCATGCTTGGTGAAGTAAAGGGTCAATGAAAAAGAAGCTACTTGGTGAGATGGATTTGCACAGTGGCTTCAACAATGTGCTGAAACATAACAATAATTGTGAGGCTAATACAGGATCAGGCAACATTTCATTCCATTATACATAAAGTCATTATGGGTCATAATGGACTCCACAACACCTAACCACCAACAGCAACATTTATGAATTTCTTGACTTGTCATTAGCTGGCAACCATCATTCTTATTCATGAGCCTCAGAAACCAAGGTCCTTATTGTGATAATCAAGCAAATACTTCTCTTTGATGATTAATTTGATCTGTCAAGTTGACTAGACTTTGGTTCATAATTGTTTGACTAAACAACAGCAACTAGAGTTGCTGTCATGGAATAGTTCCACGTGATTAATCGGTTGGCCTTGGGAAGGGCAGCTTATTTTCTGCAGTGTGATGTGATGACTTCACATCTATCATAATATAACCCAATTACTTTCTATAGGGTAATCTAATATAATGTAAGCATGGTTTATATTGTATTAGTGTCTTCCTTTGTGCAATGTGATGTAATTGATCAATCAGTTGAGCTCTTGTTCATGTGGATGTACCATAAACTAATTGCTTTGTGAACTACCACACACACACACACACACACACCTTTTACTAAGTCGTCTATTGAGTCAAGAACTTCTTAACAGTTCTAAGTGCTTTAGAAAATGAGTATGACCAGAGTCAGTGTGGAGCCTAACAAGCAGCATGGAGCCCACCTTATGGACTGGGATGCTATACCTACCAAAAGTCTAGGTTACACAGATATTTGTCAAAATAATAAAGGGGACTGTGCAAGCTATTATGCTACGGTATCCTATATAATTTGCTCTGTTATTCTGAGGTTGGGAATTTTACAAAATATGACTAGGTTCCAAAGGACAAGCAATTATTTGACATAAGTTGTGAGTATTAAAGGTCCCTAGGTGGTACAAATACTAACTACTAACCTAAAGGCTGGTGCTTTGAACCCATCCAATGGTACCACGGAACAAAGGCCTGGAGATCTGCTTCTGTAAAGATTGCAGCCAAGAAAACCCCATGGAGCAGATGTTGCATCATCCTGTGTCAGAAGTTAATCAATGCCAACAGGTTGTGTGTGTGTGTTTGTGTATGTGTGCCTGCTAAGACACATTTTTGAAAAAAGAGTTTGAAGAGGCTACGTCCTGTGAGACTAGGGAGTGTCCTCTGGTGGATGCATTTGACCTCTTGCTATTTTATATTGTATTTTTTTGTATTGTTTTTCTGCCTAAGAAAAGGAGGATGAGGGAAGAACAAGGAGAGAGATGCCGTGAACTGAAGGCATCATATTTTACTCTAGGAATGGGTGCTGGGTGACAGGCCTCACTTTAGTATAGCAAAGCCATTCCTACCCACATTTGAGAAATTGGGGATACGAGTTTGCTTTTGAAAGAACAATAAATGATCTCTAGAAAATGACAGCTCACTGAATTAACCTTCCTCCACTTATTTCAAGGGCTCAAACCAAATGATCAAAACCATACATTCTAGACACGAGAGAGTAGATTGCTTATCTAAAGTGCATAAAGTGCAACTGTATAAAATCCACCATTCTTTATCCACAGGCCCCAAACTCAAACACCTCTGAAAACCAACAGTTGTTTTATTCCACCCCCACCCCAATCTTTGCAGCACATCCAAATGGTGGCAACACCTGACCTGAACTGATGTCAGGCAGCTTTATCCTAAATCTTGTGAAAATTTACACATTTCCCTACTGAAATGTACATGTGTTTGATTGGATAAAGTTCACTGCAACCCTACTGGGGGTGTTGGGTGAGTTATGACATATACATTAGATGTTATTTTCCTAAAAGCTAATAAATTCTGATTTCAAAATCACATCTAGTTCTAATGTTTCTGATAAACAAATTTCCAATTCTACCAAAATGATTCCTGTAGAATTGTTCCTAGATTTGATACCTTGGTTAGCCTTAGCAGTGTTTGATTGTACGTGGAAATGTTCACTCAGGCATGCCTTTGTTCATTCATTCCCCAGGCATTTTTGGAGTGCCTACTCTGTGTTAAGCATCAAGTTATACATTAGGCAAGAGGATAGGGCACCTTGAGGAGTTTAATGAAGAGTGGAGACAAATGATGAATCAGCAGATGATGATTCTGTGCCACATTTCTTTGTCTATGTAAGCGAGGAGGTGAACTTAAAGTGAGCCCTGAAGGACAAGAAAGAATCCAAGACAAGCCATTGGGTGAAGGCCATCCTCAAAACTCACTGCCATTGCACTGGAGATGCCCTTGCAGAGCGGTCTCAGGGAGGAGACGAGCCAGTCAGGGTGCGATGTAACAATGGTGAAAAATACAACTTTCCTCTAGTTCCTAAATGCTTCCTCCGCCCCCCACCCCCACCCTGTGCCCTGCGACTATCATGATCCGAATTCTACCTTTCAAGTCTGGCGAGACCAGAGGATGTACACTGGTACAGATAGGAACTGGAAACACAGGGAATCCAGGGCAGATGATCCCTTCAGGACCAGTGGTGTGAGTGGCGATTCTGGGAGGGTAGAGGGAGAGTGGGTTGGAAAGAGGGAACCGATTACAAGGACCTATATGTGACCTCCTCCCTGGGGGACGGACAACAGAAAAGTGGGTGAAGGGAGACATTGGACAGGGCAAGATATGACAAAATAATAATTTATAAATTAGCAAGAGCTCATGAGGGAGGGGCACTCATGAGGGAGGGGGGAAAATGAGGACCTGATGCCAGGGGCTTAAGTGTAGAGCAAGTGTTTTGAGAATGATGAGGGCAGTGAATGTACAAATGTGCTTTGCACAATTGATGTATGTATTGATTTTGATGAGAGTTGTATAAGCCCCTAATAAACGATTTAAAAAATACAAATAAATAAAAAAACTCACTGCCACTGAGTTGATTCCAACCCATAGTGACCCTATAGGCCATCGTCTCATAGGAAGGAAAAGTCCCTGGGAAGTCCTATTACTCAAAGCTGGGTTCTGAAATGAGACACCTTGAATTTGAATCCCAAGTTGGCTACATACTTGCTCTGTGACATGAGGACATTTATTTTATTTTTCTGGGTCTTTATATTCGCTTTTGAAAATTGGAGTCAATATTAGTACCTATTTCCTAGGGTTGTCAAGACCAAATGAATTGGTATGTGTTAATCCTAAGTATTAAAAAAGAAAAGAGACTGAAGTCCC